CAAACTTTATTCATTTTATCCAAACAGCAAGTCTCCTTTCCAAAACTAGACTCCAGTTTTCTCTTATAGATTAAAACCCTTTAAATCTCTGACACATTACATTTTATATTCTTCAGATCTACCCCTCACCCTTAACTAGATTATTTTAAGGCAAATTCTGATCCTATTATTTCATCTATAAATACTTTTATATATCTCTAAACAATAAACACTTTTATTTTAAAATAAGTAAACACCATTATCACCCCTAAAATAATTAACAATAATTACTTAAAATCATTGCTATCTAGTCAGTATTCAAATTTCCCTGATTGTCTCACAAGTTATTTTTTTACAGTTGGTGGTTTGAATAAGGATCCAAACAAGATACAACATTTGCATTTCACTGATGTCTTTTAAAAAAAATTTTTTTTATGTTTATTTCTGACAGACAGAGACAGTGTGAACGGGGGAGGGGCAGGAGAGGAGAGAGCGAATCCCAAGCAGAATCCCAAGCAGGCTCCCCTCTGTCAGCACAAAGCAGAATCAGGGCTTGAACCCACAAAACTGTGATATCATGACCTGAGCCAAAACCAAAAGTCAGACGCTTAACCAACTGAGCCACCCAGGCACCCCCCATTGATGTCTTTTTAAGTATATTTTAATTTAAGGGTCTAACTCAGGCCTGTCACCTGGTTTTGTAAATAAACTTTTATCAGAACAAAGCCACACTCATTCATTAACATATTGTCTCTTGCTGCTTTTGCTTTTTGTGACGGAGATTACAGTTAACCCATGAATAACACCCTTGAACTGTGCAGGTCCACTTATACATGGATTTTTTCAATAAATACAGTACTTGGACACATGGGTGGCTCAGTTGATTGAGCGTCCAACTCTTGATTTCGGCTCAGGTCATGATGTCACGGTTCAGTTTGTGAGATTGAGCCCTGCATCGGACTCACAGTCAGTACTGAGCCTGCTTAGGAGTCTTTCTCTCCCTCTGCTCCTCCCCTGCTTGAACTTTCTTTCTCTCTCAAAATAAATTTAAAAAAAGTGTTCTTTTTAATACAGTACTATAAATGTATTTTCTCTCCCTTGTGATTTTCTTTTCTCTTTTAACTCACTATGTAACATATATTGATATACAAATTATGTGTTAATGGACTATTTGTTATCAATAAGACTTCTGGTCAATAGCAGGCTACTAGTTTAGTTTTTGGGAAGTCAAAGTTACATGCAGGTTTTTGACCTCATGGGGAGGGGGAAGGCACTGCTAACCTCCACAATGTTCAAGCATCAACTGTATTATGATCTGCAAAGCCTAAACTACTTCTATCTGGTCCTCTTTACAGAAAAAGTCTGCTAACTCTTATTTTAAACTATACATTCTTTTGTTTATCCTCTGCCATTTATTGAAGAAACCAGGTCTTTTGTTCTAAGAATTTTCTATATCCTGGATTTTACTGATTGTATTCCTCTGGTGTCATTTAGGATGTCCCTTTATCTCCTATATTTTCATAAAATAGTAGTTAGATCTAGAGGTTTGATATGATTTAGGTTTAGTTATATGGCAAGAATACTTAATTCTTTAAAGGTAGTATTATATACTACTTTGTATTATATCCGTAAAGAGGCGCACTGTTTGGTTTATCTCTCTTTCTGTGAAGTTAAGGTAATCAGTTAGTTCAGGCACAGTCTAAACTATACATCATAAAGTTCCAGAAAAGGGAATCACTTAATGGTTTTAAGCAAGCACTGATAATCAGTGTGTAAATTAATGGTTTTTAACCAAGAGTGATTTTGCTCCCAGGGGACATGAGACACTTTTGGTTGGTAACTAGGGAGTACTATTGGCAAATAGCACGCAGAAGACAGAGATGCTGCCAAACATTCTACACAATGCATAGGACAGTCTCCCATAGCAAAGAATGATCCGGCCCAAAATATCAATTAGTGCCAAGACTGAGAAACACAGGCTTAAAATCGATGATTTCAGTTAAGACCTCATTTGTTATTGATGCTGATTGAAATGCCTCTAAGTTTTCTGGCTTTCCTCAGAGTGACTTCATCAGATTGTACACAAGTTGCACCTTAAACATAAATTCTTTTTTATTTTTATTTATTTATTTTTTTAATGTTTATTTCTGAGAGACAGAGACAGACAGACAGGCAGGGAGGGGCAGAGCGAGAGGGAGACACAGAATCTGAAGCAGGCTCTAGGCTTTCAGCTGTCAGCACAGAGCCTGACGTGGGGCTCAAACTCACAAACCATGAGATCATGACCTGAGC